GAAATAATGTTTTGCGTCATTTATGACAAATAGCAATGATCTATCAAATCTAAACTAACTTCACTACTAAGAACAAGAAAATAAGTAATAATCTTGGTAACAAGAGAAGATCGCCTATTTCCTATGATCAGATTCATCCTCCCATGTTCCACCTCTTCACTTTCTTTTAGACCCTACAATTCATAACAAATGTGAAAACCACATTCTGTATCAAGGACCCAAGAACGAGTAGATTGTGAGTTATTAGTTTGAATAGTGTATATACCTGCTGATTATGGCTTCACCTTGCCATCTTTGATGTATTTCAAGTACTTGGGCAACTCCTTTTCCAATGGCCCTTATTATACTTCTCATCTTTTCATATGTTTCCATAAATCTATGAAGTACCGACTCGAAATTCATCTTCTTTTCGAGTGGTGGTTGCTCTTTTTTATAGAAACCTCTACCGGTTCGTCTATACTTCTCATCTTTTTGTTTCTTGTACTCTTCATAGGGCAACCAATCCTTCTTGGGCTTCATCTAATCTTCATCATACTTGTCACCACTTGATTAGAACACTTGTGCTTTCTTGTTCCCATTTTCATCCAAATCATAAACCTTCGTCACATGTGGACCACTACAATTATCACACCCAACTCAATGGCATGAATAGATTGATCTAATTTTGTCATTCACTTATCCATATAATCTAGTTTAGCTATGATTGCAGCCAAGTTCGCGTTCCCTCAATCTCCTTTTCCTCTTGTAACATCGTCTTGTGGATTGTGGTACTCACGTGAGTGCTTTGCAAACTCTTTAATTAATTCGTTTATAGTTGTCGTCTCCTTCTTCGTCATTGGCCCTTGTGAGTCAAGAAGTTGTCTAGTAGTTACATCAATTCCATTATAGAAAATGGAAACTTCTTGTTGAACATTAAGATCATGTTAAGGGCAACTTCTAAGCAAGCCCTTATATCTTTCCCAAGCTTCATAAAATGACTCCCCAACCTCCTGTTGAAAGTTGGTTATCTTCTTATTAAGCTTTGAAATCTTCGAAGGTGGACTAAATTGCTCAATAAAAACATCACGAAGATTCGCCCATGTGGTAATGGATCCGGGTGCAAGAGACTTCAACCAAACCTTGGCTTCACCGGTAAAAGTCACCGGAAGCATCCTTAGTAACACGAATTCTCTTGGCACATTTGGAACGTGAAATTAGCTTGCAATATCTTTAACCTCATTAACGTGTTTGAATGCATCTTCATACTCCTTCCCGGCGAAAGGTATGTCATTGAGAGTGAATAAAAAGTGCCCTTTGAACTCGAAACTTCTCTTGGCTGGTATCTCGGGTGGAACTAGACCTGGTCCATGTTCTTCATGTATCCTCTTCTTGTAGTCGCCCATCGTCATTCTCGTAATATCTGCCATCTCTTCTTCTTCTTCTTCTTCGATCTTTAACTCTGAATCGTCTGAACATCCTTTAGTAGAGGATTCTGGCTCGTATCCTACTTCCTTCTTACTTGGAGTCTTCTCAAAAATTTTGAATTTGTTGAATTTGAAAGTATTGCTTGATTCACCCTTCTTGTCTTTCTTCTTGTGGAAAGCGGATTTTGGATCTTCTAGTGGAGGAATAATTGGAGTTTTAGATCCTCATATCATAAATGACTGAAACAAAACAAAAACACGTAAAAGGAATAAAAATCAGTAAACTAATAAATTCACTGAAGTGAGACCACGACATGGTGGACATAACCATGAATTGGTTACGTCTCAGAGAGAAAAACAAATTTAACTAATCGCAGAAAAGTAACTTCTTGTAGTTTTTACCCCACAAAAATGATCGAATAACTAAAAGCAATTAACTAATAACCAAATAAGTCATTCCCCGTCAACGACGCCAAAAACTTCGATGTGCACAAAAGTACCTACTTAGTTTTAAATTTATAACCTAACAAACTCTTACTAAATATGCACCTATATCCAGTGTACCTAGTCAGATCATAGTATAGCTCAGGTAAGTCGGGTGTCGATCACAGGGAACGTAATTCAATTAATTAAATTAACTACTTCTAATTAAACTAAGAAACAAACTATGATTTGGGGGGTTTTACTGATTTTTCAAGATCAGAATAACTTAATATCACCCAACAAGTAAGCAAGCAACAAAAACAAAGTAACTTCAAGAATTAAAAGAATACTTCTGTCTAAATCCGATTTCACTTTCTCCTATGGTTGATTTCTTATGGATAGATTATATTGATTACCAATTATCTAGCTATTATAATCAAATATATAGGCCTACCAATTTATGAATGACAAAGCAATGATCATGCACAAGTTAATCACCAAATTGATAATAATACAATTGGACTATGAATGATATGAGTTACTCTCCTATGATCAATTCAAGCAACTAAGTACAAATTAATACTAATAATGCTCTCTAAAACAGTTAAAGTTAGTATCTTTAATTACTTAAACTAAGATATGATTAATCCTAACTCTAATTATCTAATGATCATAAACAATTAGGAGATAGATTCATGCAATTAATATGATCAATTAACACACAAAATTTGATTTATAAGCAATATAAACTAGAACTAAAACATGCTAGGGTGCATATATATCAAACATAAGTAAAATCAAATATAATCACCCAATAATTGAAATCAACACATATGGATCAAGTTCATCTTCACCAAACATAAGTAAAAGGTGTTTAGCCTTTCATTGTAGCGGAAAAACACATTATATCTAAGTAAAATAAGCTAGACACGAGTATAATAAGCAAACCAACTAGATCAATGTTGAATTCCTTCTAAATCTTCTTTAATCTTGAGATTCACTTCAATTTTCGATATTCTTCTGGTTTTCTAAGGATTCTTAGTCGCAATTAACCTCTAAAAACCGAATACATGTCTCTAATTTCGACTTAATGTCCGGGATTTTATAATTGTGGAAATCTGACCACCATGTCGTGGTTGACCGCCACCACGATGTGGTCTTCATGTAAATCCCGTGTCTGCCAAGTAAGCATGATGATCGCGAATATTCCATTCACCACATCATGGTCATGCCACCACGACATGGCCTTCAGTCTTCTTCTTTTCTTCTTTTGTTTTAGCTCCCGTTTCCTGCTTCCAACTCCTCGTATGTTCTCTTTTTGTCCCGAGCAAGTCTTCGCCGCTACAAACATATTTTAAACATAATAAGTATCTTTTGTTCCATATTAAGCATAATTGTAGCTAAAAATATTAGAAATATGCATTAAATATATAGTTAATTATGCACACATCATCTCCAACCTATCATCTCCAACCTATCGCTCTACATTAGGATACTGTGTCTATTAGGATACAACCTTATTTCATGGTCTTCGAAAAGACAGCCTACATTATCAAGATCTAATATTGAGGCTGAATATCGAGGGGTAGCTAATGTTGTTTCTGAAACCTGCTGTCTACGCAATCTTTTGCTTGAACTTCATTGTCCATTACAGACATCTACAATTATTTATTGTGACAACGTCAGTGCTATCTACCTATCCGTAAATTTGGTCCAAGATCAACGTAAAAAACATATCGAAATGGACATCCACTTTGTTCGGGAAAAGGTAGCTCGTGGAGAAGTTCGTGTCTTACATGTTTTGTCACGTTATCAGCTTGCCCTTATTTTTACAAAAGGTTTACCTCGAATTCCGTTTGACGACTTTCGAAACAGTCTCAATGTTTGATAACCTCCCGTTGCGACTGTGGGGGGCTATTAGACGTATTTGTAATTATGGCAAGTTTCCTTATATTAGTATCATGATAGCTTATGGATCAAGTATTTGTATTTTACACAAACTAGGAGTCCTTTGTATATATAGGATGGTTTATCAATAAGAAAGACAAGGCATCACATTACATCTTTCAATAAGTGTCAAGCCTGACAGGCAGGACAAGTCTATAGCTTCAACTACAAAGTTACAAATTCTTTGCAAACTACATCTTTACATCTCGATCACCGTACTTATAAATATGGGAAATGGGAAAAATGGTGTATTGTGTGTGCACGAACCAACGACAATGAGATTGTTTAACACCCAAGAGTTTCAGAATCTTGTTAACTTTAATTTGATCTTTGTCATCTATAGAGTTGCATACCGAATTGAAACGGTGAACCTTCTGCCACATCCTCCTAAATGAGAATTACCAAATGACGTATTGGTGGTGTTACCCTTCCATGCTAATATGTGTAATGTTATATGTTATCCCTTTTTATTTGGAAAATTTTATAAACATCACAACCATCCTACTTTAAAACTTACAAATACAACTTCCTTACCTCCGAATTTGGAGTGTAATGTGACCATAAATAACCTTTATTATATAGAACACAACGAAAAAATTCAACTCAAATGGATTTCATGTGAAAGAATTATGAAAATTCAAAGTTGAGTTTTTTTTTTTCATATTTTTCAGCGAGGAGTTTACTTTGGACCTAAAAAAATATGTATTTCTGACATCCAACTTTGGAGTGTGATATTTTCATTGCTAGCCCTTGTTTCATAGGACACGATGAAAAAAAATCGACCCTAAATGGACTTCATGTGTAAGAATTATGAAGGTTCAAAGTTACGAAAAGAAATTAGATTTTTGTAAGCCAAGGCTGCAAAAATCTATGGAGATTTCCGCAATCAACGGTAGCATAATGATGTTGTTTTGCAAAAAAAAAATGCAAATGACATTCATTTTCGTAAATGGTCATTTGTGAAAATCGTAGCTATTTTAATTATTTTTTATTTTCTATAGTTATTTTGTGATAAAAACTTTGAAAATGGCTACTATGATTATTTTTTCTTTAAACTAATTACTACATGTATTTGTTAAATATGAGAAATATATATGCTTAAGTTTACATAAAATGACACTTTTATCGATTATTAGTATTACTATAAACATTAGTGGGCTGGGTAGATACAGGCTTACGTTCTAGGATTGCATGGTGGTTTTGGGCTTTCAGCCTATAGTAGGTTTTCTGAAAGTGTAAAGAAGCGATCCGCCTCGCCTTTTAAGTCCTTACAAACCCTAATTATATATCGGAAGTCTTGAGTTCGGAGGCGCGGCATAAACCCTAGAGTAGGAGGATCGTCCGCCATCTGCAAACATGGGTACGATTACGATTCATTTCTCAAGTTTGATGATTTGCTACTTCGTCTAGTTTCTCGATGTCAAATTTTAAACACTCCGATGATGACTCATTGCTATTGCAGGTATCTCTCGTGATTCCATGCACAAGAGACGTGCGACCGGTGGCAAGAAGAAGGCCTGGAGAAAGAAGCGAAAGTAATTTACACATTCAGCCTCTATTTGCTTTTATAGTCGGTAGTTAATTACGCTTTCCGATTGCTTGATCCGTTTCATAATTCCTTCTACCTGCTTGCAACGTGTGTTTGGTCCTCTTTCTTTGTTTGGTTCACTTCTCTATTTTAATCGTTCTCATGGATAATATTGAGATAGTGTGATAATCGTAACAATTGTCGCTATATTCGTCAGTGTTTTCTCATTGCCTTTGTTTCAGACACATATGCTGAACTCCATTTTTAGTAGCATTCAATTAATAGATTCATCAGAGCATAGGCTTTTCAAAACATTAATTATGGCTGGTTTTCTCAATGTTCTATTTGAAAAGCTGAAGTCTATGCTTTTAATTTAAAAGTGCTGTTGAGGATTTTATTCTAGCTCACAATAACCTCATAGCTTCTACTTGGAGACTCAATCAGTGAAGTACATAAATACATTGAAAGAGATGATAAAACCGTTTTCAGCCATCTTGCTAGTAATTAACTTTTTAATAAGATGATGACACAGTGGAAGAGATGGGTAAGTAGGAGAAATTATACCATCTGTGTCATCTTGTAAATAGGAGGATGTAAAGCATTACACCTAAAGTATCTTAACAGTTTCAAATATAAGAGCTTGGAGTTATGTTTTTTATTGGTTAGCAATCCTAACGTTTTGATCTATTTTTTTTTTTGTTATGGAGGTATGAGCTCGGAAGACAGCCTGCCAACACGAAGATCTCGAGCAACAAGACTGTTAGAAGGGTGAGAGTTCGTGGTGGAAACGTGAAGTGGCGAGCTTTGAGGTTGGATACAGGGAACTACTCGTGGGGTAGTGAGGCTGTGACCCGCAAGACCCGTATCTTGGATGTGGTTTACAATGCATCCAACAATGAGTTGGTCAGGACCCAAACTCTTGTCAAGAGTGCCATTGTTCAGGTCGATGCTGCACCTTTTAAACAATGGTATCTTCAACACTATGGTGTTGATATTGGTCGCAAGAAGAAGCCAGCTCCTTCATCCACCAAAAAAGAGGGAGAGGTAGGTTCCTGTTTACAGAGAGGCATGCATCATCTTTTATAGTTATATTTAATATTAAATTGTTATTAATTATAGGAAGTAGAAGGTGCAACAGAGGAGGCGAAGAAAAGTAATCATGTTGTGAGGAAATTGGAAAAGCGTCAAGAGGAACGCAAACTTGACCCACATGTTGAAGAACAGTTCTCTAGTGGTCGTCTTCTTGCAGCTATCTCTTCACGCCCTGGCCAGTGTGGTCGTGCTGATGGGTATGTATTTTTTATTTATTCTCAAGTTCATATTTTTTATATGTAATTAATGATATAAAAGCTAAAGTATTTGTATGTGTGCTGATTTGGTTGGGTAAAATAATTTGGCAGATACATATTGGAAGGGAAAGAGCTTGAATTCTACATGAAGAAGTTGCAGAAGAAGAAAGGAAAGGGTGCTGGCACTGCTTAAGTTGGTTTTTTATAGATTTGTATTTCTTATTTATTTTAAGGGAGGCATGACTGAGATTTTTGTTTTTCTATTGATGTTGAAAGACTAATGCCGGGTTCATGCTATTGGTTTTGTTAACAATTTTGCTTCTGTTGTTGCCATGTTTCAGCATCTAGAAAACCGGTTTTCTGATTTGTTTATTTGGCAATTAATCTAGAGTTGTCAACATACTTAGTAAGAGGAGTTAGGCCTGCAAAATAATCTTCATTCACAACTTAACTTCGATGGAAAATTGCATAAAAGTATTGTAACTTACAAAACATGTTGAAAAGTTTATTTATCATCCAATATCAATGCTTTCAATAGTCTTTTATTTATGTGTTTAGAGACATAAAAAATTAGATTGATTTGTTATATAATAAAAACTTTTGGTTTGAAATGACTTCCGGAACACTTCATATAATGAAATGAGTATTATAGTCGATATGAAAGTGTGTTGCGTTTTGAATGAGTGGTGCATTTCCCCTTTGCAATTTCAAAGAGAAGAACATGCATTCTATTGTACCAAAGTCTACATTTTTCTAAACCAAGAAAGTTTGTTTGGAAGTTAACAATCAGGCCCTGAGGATGAAAAAATGACCATTTTACCCTATTGTTTAAAATAAACCAACTAATGCATTAACAAATAAATAAACGCCATGATAAACCAGCAAAACAAGAAAAGGGTCATAATCAACCACCAAAAGTCTCAAAACACAATAGTAAATGGAACACTACAGTTGTGGGATTCAGTTCTTCCATCAAAAGCCATGTGTAGTAATGTGTAAAATCCATGGTTGTACAACTTCACTTGTATCTTTTAGTAATTATTATAGAGTGCACATATATGTATAATTTCCATCAAATTGCAAAGCAATGGCCATCTACAAAAACCACTTAGGTCGAAATGGCAAAAGCCAGTTACTCTGGTGGCACTATAGCGATTGGTAACTGTGTGAGAAAGGTTTGCATACTCAAAGCATGTCACCAAAAGTGTTGGCTCCTGAATTCCACCACAAGAAAGAGCTTTATAGAAATACTCGATGTTATAGATAAACATAAAATATCATGGTAAGTATGGAAAGAGAGGTGATACAAGTAATAGAATTTCAGGCTTTTGATGTATGCACCCTATAGTGTTTCTTTCGCTTTCTCCAATCTATGCAGTCACTTTTTTTAGGGCAAGGAAACAATGCTAATCTTATTTTTTTAGGTTACTTAAAAGGATTTGAGTTAATATCTAGAAGAAACAGGATCATCTTATCATTTAGGTATTGGAACATTGCATTTTGTGGAAATCAATTAATGGGTGTAAGAAAAAAAACGAAGATGCAATTGTAGTGCTCAAATGATGGAAACAGAAAACCAAAGACATGGAAATGATATAGATTTCAGATTACAGATAAGCAAAGGTTTTGGAAGTGCTGTAATCTCTGTAAAGTTGTGTGAACCCCTTGAATAAGTATTCTTTTTGCTTAATACAATAATAACATATATTATTGGTTAATATTCATTATAACCATATTTATTTATTCTTTTCATTTTATACTATAAAGTTTTCAGTCACTTATTTTATTTTATTTTAATCCCGAGTCATTTTAAACTCGTTTTAAGTTTTAACTATCAAACTGTCATGCACAAAACAATAAAAAAAAATCATTATCATTTAACAATTAAAATATATTGTTATTGTGTGTGTGTAAAGAAAATATACTTTTGGTAAACCAGTCATCTTTAACTCGTTTTAACTATCAAACCCTCATACATAAAACAATTAAAATACAAATCAGTATACGTAAATTGTTCAATGATAATTTTTATTTTTTATATTAAATTTAAAAGTTATCATTAAACAATTAAAGTATATTGTTATTGTATGTAAAGAAAATAGAAAGTTTACATAAAATTTGGTTTAAAATATGTTGTTATGAACTTATGGTGTCCTTAATCTAATTACTATATTGATATTTTAAGCACCATATCTTTGTTATTTTTCTTATACTAGTTTTTATATATATTAATTATAAAGACTGGTACTCATTTTTTTTTAATTGCCATGTATGACTTGACGGGTATAGAATTATTGATACCACCAAGTTATATTTATAAAGTTTTGAGTTAGTCACTTAAACATAAACATGTCTAAGAAAGTATAACGATGTCCGTTACCAAATTCAATCATATACATAGGTTGCAAAACAAGTCCAAGTCCGTAGTTACGGATACTAAAACAAATTAAACCAATACAATACTTGATATAACATACAAAGAATTCATCAGTCTCATGTTTGTTCTCAAATTACATACCAGGAACAAACAAATAAATACTTACAAGAAGAACACTAAAAACTGAAATCAATCGGTACAAAAGCCGAGAACGCATCAAAGCATGCATTCTTTATAAATAATAATCTAAACTAAACTTAATGATCCATCCTTTCAAACCATGAGAAGAAAGGCAGCCACAACAATGGCCAAAGAAGAAAACAGAATCCCAACAGCGGCTTTAGGAGGCTGGCCACTTGGCGAGGCGGAAGGTGGTGATGTGGCATTTCCAGTAGGCGGGGATGGTTTTATGGCTGGAGGGATCGGAGAATCTGCCACGTCAGCCTCGGTCAAAATGGGGTTGGGAGCCTCAGCTGGCGGCATCAACTGTGGTGTCATGAGCGGCAATAGCTGTCCAGGTGAAGCAGGAGCCATGTATGGTGGCGTCTGATTTGGTGGTAATCCTAAACACCTGTTGACTGGATTTGCCATATTATTTATAAAAAAAAAAAAAAAAAAATCAGTAAAAAAATTATATATTAATAACCAAATCTTCCTTATCCACATTTGGTCATTATGGATTTTTTGTCCATCAAAGGTACATAAACTCATTTTATTGTACTGATTGTACCATGATGACCAGAAAGCTACATGCTATAGCAGCAGGTCATAATGGTGTATTTGATACAAATTTTAAAACCAAATGTGGACACTGCAATTGGAAGATTTCAACTTAAACACACTAATAGTAATTAGTAATTATTTATAAACTTACTTCTGTATTTGGCTGCAGTAGCTGGATAATCTGTAATAACACCATCAACATTAGCTCCCACAACATACGAGTTTATTTCAACATACGGATCTGAAAAGAAGTCCCATGGCTGTGAAATAAACTCATTGTTCATAATCTGTACATAAACATGGAGCTTAAAAGCTTGAAGTTTTGTCACGACATCAGTTTGATCAACAAGAAATCCACTATTGCGAGGGAATACAGATTCCTTTCCAACCACTACAGAATTAGCCATTTTACTAATATCTGAGATGGTTGCATTCTGGGCATCACCAATGTTTTCATCAACCTCATAAACAAGCTCATGTCTGTTGCTTTTTGCCTTGAATAATCTCAGAACCCCACCATCTGGAGATTGGATTAATATTTTTTTGGTCCTCTGATTATTGTAAGTAGAGTTACTTAATGCATTCATGACTGCATCCACGACACTTAATCCTTGATTTGCTGCTAGGTATGGTGCATTCTGGACAAAACTAGTGTCAGATTCAGATTTAATTAATAGAAACAGAAAAGGAAATGGAGAGCATACACTTACCTTAATGTTGATCAAGACACCAGAAACAGAAGTAGCATTACTTGCAAAAGCCAGAAAGTCGGACAAGGTCATAAGCTTTCCATCATTTTTGGCTTTTGGATTCCGAAACAAACTGTAGTTCTTATATGTGTTGTATATTGCAGCTAGCAACATAAAAGAAAAGAAAAACATGAATAGAAAGAAATTGTAAAAAAAAGTCAAAGAGAAGTGATTAGAGTAGATTGCTTACGTGTCAAGCCCTGAACCTGGGTCCATGTGAGGCTAAAGGAATATATCCCAGCAGTAGGCTGAAGCTCAGGAATGACTTGTGTAAGGTTGCTAAAACCTGACTCTGCAGCTGTTGTTCTATCAAGAAGGTTTATAGAGCCTAAACAAAAAGGCACCCCATCACTTGTCATTTGAACAGGGCAGTCGATTATATCAGCACCATCAGAAACAGCTTTTCTGTATGCCAAATCAGTACAACCAGGGTAGTCCCCACTTGCTCCTTCAGATGTAATGATCAAAGGTTTTGCTGACACACACAGAAAAAAAAAAAGTCAATCAAATGCACATTTACAGGTATTAAATTAAAAGATTCAAGATACCATCCAAAAGGACTGACCTTGCTTTGCTTGATTTTTTCCCAGATGAGATAGGCAATCTGCATGGTTTGGTTTCAGATATAGTTATTTAATTTGGAGAAAAGAAATGAATTTGTTGGAGGGTGTAAGCTTACCAAAAGCTGCAGATGGAGTAATCGGGTTGTCAGAAAGGACACCATCCACAGCAAATTTCCCATTATCGATGAAAGAGAGATACTCTGCCACAGGGTCATAACTGTAATTATAAGCAAACTGTACATCATTCGCAAAATCAGAAGCAAAAACTTCTAGACCCTCCTTGTGGGCATCCAACACCAGTGATGTAGATGGTTGCAAATAGAAATCTTCATCCACAGGCCATATGTATGATTTAGGAACTAAGATTCCGGAAGCAAATGTCTTGATAAACCTCAAATTGGTCAAAAGAGAAGAGTATGTTTGGTTGGTGGTTGGCTCGGTTTCGTCCTGACCTAGGAACCGGAAAACTAGTTTGGTTGTTTTGCTTGCTTTGAAGTTTGTCACCAGACTTTTTAAAAAGTTAACTTCTGGAGATGAAATGTAGTTAATAGCGGCTTTTTTAGATGTAGTGATCACATAATTTCTCATACTTAAATTGTGTTGGCTGTAAAATGCATCATGCTGGATGTTCAACCACAGTCCAGGTGGTTTCACTTGCCCTGAAACTTCTTCCACAGTAAGTAATTTCAATGACCCATCAAAAACTGGAGTTCGAGACAACACGCCCTGTGTTACTGTTGCAACAAGACACAAACATAAAACGTGAGTAGCAGTTATTACAGATTAATTAAATTTAAGTTAAACTTACAGGAGACATTGTCTAGGTCTGCAAGTGAGAAATCCATTGGAAAAAATCCAGTCGTAGGGACTCCATTCACAGGGTAGGTTTTATTCCTGTTATTGAACAGAGAAGCAATTGTGGAAGCATTGCTAAGATCAAGATT